TTGTATTATTTAAACTATTATGAAGAAATTACAATTGATATGGAAGAAGGTGGTATGAGCTTGTTTGCTTTGTTGTGTAATAATTAATTTTTAAAAATATATTTTTACTTTAAAGTTGATGTAATAATTCAAATTACTTATACAATGTTTTACCTTCATAAAATGAAAGTGATTTATTTTAATTCAAAACCTTAGAATATTGTAATTATGAATTTTTAGATAGAATAAAAAATATGGTTACATACATGTTAAATTGATAGACTTTGGAATACCTAAAATAGAAGAAAATGATGATGAAAGATTAAAAAAAATCAAGGAGTATATGGAAAAACTTATTATAAGGCTCTTAAAATAAGATATCTTACACACAAATTTAATTCATTTAAAGTGGATGTTTTTAGATTTAGAATTTCTTGTTGTAATATTTTGACATGTATTGAAAACAAAATAAATCTAAAAAAATGAGTATTTAATACATTTAATTAAAAATTTAAAAATTTTAGACAAAAAGAGTTAAATCATAAATCTTTAAGAAAAAAATTATTATTAATTAAAAAAATTAAAGAAAAAAGACTTCTTCTAATCTTTGATGATATTTTGAATCATATATATAGATATATATATATATATATATAGAAGTGATTATTACAATATTAAGTATTATTAGAAGCAAATTTATGGTCATTAGTTGTAAATATAATATATTGAAAAAAATATTAATAAATCAAGAAAAATAGAATTAAGTCCATTCAATAAAAATATAAATATTAAAATATTTTTTAAGCATGTTTTCAAAGATAGATACTTTTATATGCTACATTTATATAATTTCTTTAAAAAATCATTCAAGGCTTGTACTTAACATCCTTTAAGTTTAGAAATTATAGGTTCTTCTCTAAATGGACAAACAAGACTTTGTATATAAGAGCAAACTTTGCAAATACTAAAAAGATATAATATATGTTTAAATAGTAAAGACCTTTTGGCAAGACAAAAGTCTAGTTTTGATGACCTTAAAAAATAAGAAAAGATAATATTTTTGGATTTAACATGTTTTTTTTGTAAAGACATATGACTTGAAGACATTAATAAAGATGCAATTTTTCAGTTTTATGAATATGAATTTGAGAGCTATAAAAAAATTATTACAAGCATAAAAGATAAATTACTTATTATAGTAGATAAATTTGGAGTAATAACCATTCATGAATTATTACAAGATATGGATTGTAAGATTTTTAGAATAGAATTCAAGGAAGTTCAAAAATGGAATGAGAATTGTACATTAATTGTTGATTTCAAATCAAAGATATGACTTAAACTTATTAAGGCATTCAATTGAGATGAATAGTTTTTTTTCAATCTTACATCTTAAAGTTATATTTATAAAACAAAAATTGATGTAAATGATAAATTTTACAAGTTCTAATGTATAAAATGTGTTTTTAATTACAACTCAATTCAAATATGAAAGACATTTGTTTTACAAATTACTAAAGTCATTTGAAACCATATGATGGTATAAAGATTAAATTACCTCATTTTTGTTTATTGAGTTTTATAAAATATACAAATAAAAACGTATTAACTTTAATAGTAAAATAATTCAATCAATTAAAGTGATTAAAATTTTATTTCTTTGGATTAAATAATACAAAAGTATTAAAATAATTTTATATCTTATATACCAAAACCATATGAGAAATCTTGTTATTTTAGAGATAATTGTCATAAAAAGTCTAAAATTATTTTCATTTGATGCATCAAGTATGAAATTTTTAAAAAATATGAGTCTAAAAAATAATTCCAACATGAAAATTTAAATGCTCTTTGAGGAAAAAAATGGTTTTAAATCTTTTCAATTCAAAGGGATATTTAAAATTGAAGGATGTTACAAACATATTTTCTACCATAAGAATGTTAAGGTATTTGAATTCATTAAATTATAAAGATATGGACATATAGGTAATAAAGTGAACTTAAAATCATCTCTGATATTAATGGACTTAGAAAAAATCTTCAATTTAAAAAAAGTAAGTAATTTATTTGACAAAGTTGTATTCCTTGAAAATTTGATTTTTAAAGATTGTACCAATTTGAAAAATATTCATGCTATATTTGATGGTATGATAAATATGAAGAGATTGTGGTTTGAAGAATGTAAGAATATGGAAGACATGCCTATAGGATTGAAGCATAAATTATCTTTGCAAGCACTAGTATTTAGAGGTTTTATAAAGATAAAGATTGAAGATGATACCTATCTTACATTGATGTCTTTGTAATACTTGGATTTAAGAGGTTGTATTAAAGTGAAGACAACACACAATGGATTTTCTAATCTTGTATTTCTTAAGAAATTAAATTTTAAAGATTGTACCAAATTAAAGAATATTCATACTATATTTTATGGAATAACAAACTTGAAGCATTTGTAGTTTGAATAATATGAGAATTTAGAAGTCATGTCTATGGAATTGAATACAAAATTATTTTAGTATTGCAATAATGATTTGGAAGTTTATTGGCATAGTATAGGACATATATATATATATATATATATATATATATAATAGAACAATAATAGAAGGAATAGATTTGAGATTCTAGTTAATTTTTGTATCTGAATCATTATCACCAATATAATATTTCTGGATAAAGATTAAGAATAATGCCTTTAGTATATTAAAATCTTTTATATACTTAGACTGAAGTAGTCCTAAACAAGTGGTTCTCATGCTATGACAAACTTTAAAATTTTATAATTTGAAGTAAGCAAAATTCTAAGTTTTATTCTATTAAAATTAAAGAAATATTTTTCTTTAGAAGATTTTTTGTCAACTAAATGTCTAATAATTAATGTTTTAAGATTATGCCTTAGAATTTTACTAGTATTTAATGATAAAGAAAAAATGATAATTTTGTGTGCCCTAAAGTATACATCCGTGATAAAATAGAAGAAAGAAAATCCAATGATGTATATTTTTCAAATCCACCAATAATAATAAGATTGATATTATTAACAACTATAAAGTATAACAATATAAGTCCACACATTAGATTTTAGAAAAAATCTAGAAAGTACATTTTATTGGAAGTCTACTGCATCATTATGGAGGATTTTGATTTTATCTTAAGTATGTTTTTTGAACAAATGAAGAGAATGTTTTTGCAGATAAATTGGAAATACAGAAGAAACAAAGAAATATATATATATATATATATATATATGAACTTTAAAAAGTTTCAAATAGATAAAATTTGACCTGGTAGGCACAGCATGATAAGGTTACACTTATTCATACCTGCACTCTCCCGTGCCTTCCCCATCACCGACTGCGACTCATCACCGACGGAGACCCATAACCCTCCATCACCGTCTATCATTTTGCCTTGTCGATCAGCCTCTGGGAGTCGGTGTTGAAACCTCGCATCGACCTGGGATGCTCATCACCGACTAGAAGTTCCAGGCGCAGCTCCATGGCCCCGGCTACTCGTTTCCGTTGTGGTTGTCGATGTCGTAGCTTGGGGCGGTGGCGGGAGGAGATTAGAGGGCCACCCCCATAAAGAGCTCATCTTGTATGGTACTATCGATGCTGGATGCCAGAGCAATAATCTTTGGGCATTCCGACTTGAGCTTTCATTTTCCAGTGTTTGCATAAAGATATCTTAGACTTCAGAAATGTTCTTCCATCGAATTTTGAAGCGCATGAATTCATTGATTCGGCTGCAGCAGGGTTGTAGCTCACTGGACTCGTCCGCTTGGAGAGTAATCATATTGGATCCTTCCCATTGTTTGTCCCACTTACATGTTTCCGTCACACACTAAGGTGGAGTTTGTCCCAGGTTGAGGATGTCGCTGTTAGGTTACGATCGAAGGGGAAACCTCCCACGTGATGATACAAATTCTCCTTTCTAGTTGTTTCACTGAATCGGAAGCCGGACCTTTCTCCTTTGAAAGCCAATTGGTAAATTCCAGAAGAATGAACATATGTCATGATTGTGGTGCACAAGAATTGGGTGCCCTGTCCACGAAGAAACCAGTTAATCAATCATGGTCGAATCTGAGGGTTCCATATTGTCGGAGTTAAATTCGTAGCCTGGAGTGCATTTGTCGCGTTCAACATTGCCTGCCACAGCAGATAACTCTCCATTATTTGAACCAACTTGTGGATTGTCGACAGTTAGAACATAAAGACATAATCATCGCATCATACGCACCGACGTGGGTCAGTAAATATCCAATACACCTTTCCTGAGATGTCTACGGGCCAATGTAATACATCTGTTCAAGCAACTCAACTCTTGGGGTCAGATAACCATCCACTGTTAGTTTACTTCGACGAGTCGGAATTATCAACAGTAGCATTCGTCATCATTCACCTTCGGAGTCTGTATCCGAGGACCAGGTTGATGAGAATGACTGTGCTGCAACGATTGAGGTCTCATTTTTTGTGAATGAAGAAGGCAAGAGATACCCCACGTGTCCCAAGTCATAGCCTCCAACTTGAAATACGATGCAGTCTTCCCTGCAACACCCATTCCTTCTCCAAAGATCTAGGTGAGCAGCACTATCGATACACTAAGCTAATTTCCCTTGGGTCTATAAATGTTCTGCAGGCGCACTCGAAAGAACCGCAGAGACGCGCCACAAGGCCAGCAATTGTTTAACATGATGTATTGAAGTTTTAACACAATTTGCATGTAGCTTAAGCAGCCTCAAAATCTGCACCAAGCGTCCTGTGAGCGTGATCCATTCTTGAAGTTGTACCTTTGAAGACTAGGAATGGTCACATACTGTGGCCGATGTACCTTGGGACACAATTCTTAGTTTAAACTAGGCTTCTCCTTGTTTCACATGGGGAGACATCATCATTGTCTGCCTTTCGCCTCATCAACATATGTATGGCGCTCACACAGACTCACACCAGATATTCTCCATGATGGGTTCTCAAAATGAAACATGAGGTGGAATAATCCATATAGATTGAATCATGAAATGAGAGGAAATAACGTGTCGAGATTGAGAGTCAGTGGAAGGAACATTTGTGGCTCAGTGGGTTGCAAATTGTTTGCTAAGAATATTGAATTGCGCTAACATCAAAGACAATCTCATTGACCATCGAACCTTCCTGGCGCTCAGCGGCTCGCAGGAAGAGCTTAATCTAATCTTCCAGAGTTGAAAATGAGACAGCAATTGCTCCTTAAACCTCTGCCTCATAAAACCCAACAAAAAGTGTAGACTTGCAGCAATCTAATTATAAAGTCCCCATATAGTGCGCTGTGACTAACGACTATGCATAACCTGGCTTACTAAAGCTACCTGCTTGCAACAAAAATTCGAAAAGACACCCTGCCTACAAAGGCACGGGAAGCATTGGGCCACATGATTGAAAGGTGAAAAACCCACAAACGTAGGGAGAGACACAAGGGTTTTTTCCCCTAAGCTTTGGAAACGGGAACGCACTCGAGCAATCTAGAGAAGTAGAATTTCGTGCCCGTCATCTCCTTTCTCTTGACAACCCATCCAACCTCTTTGAGGGCAGCCTCCACATCCTCCTCAGCGTGCAAATAAGCCCGAGTAGCCTTAGAAGGCCCCGGAAACAATTCCCCAATCCTCTTGAGAACGGCGTAGTACAAGGTGTAAGGGGCGAAGCTCAAAATTAGGCGATTCTCGGCGAGCGACGCCAAGTGCTGCACCATGCCGCCGGCTTTGTCCTGCGGGTAGTGAATCAACACATCCAAACACGCAACGGTATCGTACTTCCCAGAAATAGACTCTAAGTCGCGAGCTTCGAACTTTGGAACTTGAGTCGGCTTGTCATTGGCGTTAGACTTCAGGGCTGCCTCTGCTCGCTTCGCCGCTTCATCCACCATAGCCGACGAAATGTCACTGGCGTACACTTCCGCACCTTCAAGAGCAAGCGGGATTGAGAGGCTACCAGTACCGCAGCCGGCGTCGCAAATGGTGACTCCCTCGAGAGGCCTGTCCTTCAAGAACCGCATCACCTTCTCAACCGTCTGCGCATGACCTTGGCGAATGTCAAGCTGGACGGAGTTCACATCATCTGTCTCCCCGTAGATACGTCTCCAACGTTCAAATCCCTGGGTATTGAAGTAATTGCGCACTACAGCCTTCTCGTCACCCCCGGTCTCTTCCGCCTGCTTTTGACGACGCTTCTCCGGGTCAGCAAGCGATAACGCTGCCGCAAGAGCGGCAATGGCACCCCCACTGGCAACTGCGAATTGCAATCCAGAGAACCCGTCGCTCTCTATCACAGCCAATCCATCACCACCCAGAGCCTGCGCAGCCAATTCCACGATGGGCAATGCAGCCGTGACTTGGAGGCTCCCCCTGGCGCTCCTCGACGAAACCCCCACTCGCAAATTGCTATTCAAAGACCCCAGCGCAGGGCAAAATGAAGACCGAAGAGCAGCAGAAGCTTCACGGTGCCCGCATTGTGTCAGCGCTGCTGTTGAGCTCGCAGTACACACAGCAGCAGCAGCCATGGCTGCCATAACCAACGCACACAATCCTCTCGCTCTCTCTCTCCGTGTTTACCTGTGCTGCGTAGCTTCAGCCCCACCCCAACACCGCTTCTAAATCCAAGCCAGCACCAGCGGGCTGCTCTGTTCCGCTTCGCTTGCACCTGTTCAATCCGCTTGCGATGCCGGAACCGCAAACTGATCCAAGAGCCGCGAGTGCGATCGAGGGCCACGAATTCATCCTGCGAAGGGAAATGGAGCGTCGGGCAGTGTCGAAGGAATCCGGCGGCGGGCGTCCATTGGACGGTGAGTGGATCATGCATCCGCCACGGTGGCAGGGCCATCATCTTCATCCCTTTGGCTGGAGCCCTACAACCGAGAGTCTCGACGAAGGTTCCCCTCTTCTCGTCTCGTCTAGGAACCACAATTATCCTATTAATTTGCATCAATGTCTCATCGTTTGTGTTTGAAGGGCGCTATTTCTATTTTTTTAATATAAAAAATTAGAAGAAAAAATTCAATTTAAATTATTATTTTCATGTATTTTGTAACTTATTTTCTCAAATTTTTACTACATTATTTCCAAATAAGATGATATATTTGAACATAATTTTAAAAAATATTAAATTAACCAACTTAAATTTTAAATTGATCTGTTATGTAACTTCAAAATAGTGACTATACCAATCACCCCACACCTTACTTTTGTCATAGACAACTTTACTTCTTTCTATCTTCAATTGTGCGTTAATTTATTCCAAGCTGGTTAATCATTCTAAATAAACCAATTGTATTACACTTCGACTTAGCTTTAGCCTTCTTTGACTTCTTCTACCTTTTAGCTATTTATTTTAATTAATTTAGAGAAAGTCCTCATGCAGCATGGCAATAAATTAGCCATGTTTATGTATTAAGTGACAATGTCTTAAATTCAAATACAATTGCTACATCCACTAAAATAGTTGTTAATCATTTTGTACCTGTCAATATAAGATTTAGATGGATCAATTTAATATCCCTTATAATTTATTATTTTCCTTTTCATGGTTTTTGATCATTAAGTTACATGATTTTTTTAATTGCATATTGTGTTATTTAGAATTGCAACTTAATCCATTTATTCAACTTAATTTAATCATTGAAACTCAATTTAATCATTTTTTTTAATTGTCAACTTTATATTTATATTAGATTCTTATAGCTTTTATTTAATATTCCATGATTATCTTGATCTCTTAAATTTTAAATCATAAATATTTTATATCTTTATATTTATATAACCACATGTACAAGTTGTGAATTCTTCTTTTTTGCTAAATAAGATTGATCTTAGAGATGCATGTTTAAGTTTAACTTCTTGTTACATTAATCAAGTGAATAATTATCTATTGCAATATTATATTTAAAAAAAATTGGCTTAGTTTTTGTGATTTCCTAAAAAAAGTTTATTTATTATAAAATTTTAATTTAAAAAAAATTTCTTTGTCTTATCATATTTATTTAATTTTTTTTTATTTAAACAATATGAGGAACCATTATCTAAATAAGCATTTTAAAATTTTATAACTTTGATTTTCATAATATATATTGATCTTGTTTTTATGCATTAGTTTGGAATGAAGAAACAATAACAATCTTTAAACTTATACATGTGACAAATTGGTTATTAAGCAAAACCTAATTTGCAGTAAACTATTCAAATTAATGCATTATCTTCTATGTATAATGTATTATATAACTCATAGTTTTTATTTTTATATAGCTTTAAGAAATTTTATGTTGTAAATAAATTTATTCATAATCTATAATTGATATTTTTTGAAACTTGAAGATAAAATCAACCAAGTTTGAATAAATTCAAAGAAGTTGTGACTTGCAAGGGTTTTCAAACATCTTTTTATTAATAATTTTACTTTTGAATTTTTATTTTATTTTTTATCTTTTTTTTTTTTTTTTGAATGTTGATTTGATTGTCTTGAATTCGTACAAAAAATCTTATATTCTACTATTTAAAAATAATGAGAGTTTTTCTTTTGACCTAATTGAACGCAAAACAAAACAAAACAAAAAAAATGATAAATGATTGCTAATTATTTCAATAAAAACCTCCATTTTTTTAATTAATAATCTTGTAAGATTAGAATCTTACAAATTAAAGCTAAAGGATTTTTTTTTATTTTAGGAATCTAAAACTTTAATCGCAACAATCATTTATTTTAAGTGATTTGAAGCAAATAAATAGTTCAAGTAGAAGAGAATCTATTATACATTTTATGTATAAAAACATATATCAAAATACATATATAGAATAAAGATAAGAAATATTTATATTCAATTTAGGGTGATGTTAATGCCATCATAAGTTTCACTACTACCACCACAACTTGCCACCCACTCAATATATTTCTTTAATTTTTTTTATTTCAATATGAAAATATTAATATTTCCAATATTTATTCTTTTTTTCAAATTATATAGAAAATAAATTTAATCTTAATAAAAATTAATTGAGTTGACAAAAGCGAAAACTAAGATAACATGTGGTGAATAGAAAATTGTAGTGGCATTAACAACACCCTTAATTTATTGTCTTAAAATGTATCACTAAATCCAACATGTTCACTATAGAGTAATTGACTTAATACAAGAGTTGTCATACTCACCTTCAAACTAAATCAAACCTCAGGAAATCATCCACAAGCAACACGATTGACAATACATAGTTTAATCCCTACTTATCTACCTTGGGTGACAGCAGTTCCTCAATTTTAGGGGAGGATTGCTCCTGACTTTTTGCACAGATACTACTGATATAAATCACCAAAGATTTACAGGTATTTAAAAGCAGCTCTAAAACCTTTTCATATAGCCTGAATATTGTGCAACATCATGTGAAGATGCAGAGAATTCATTGAAGGCCTCTTCTTCACTGAAAGCAAGCGAATCAAGACTCGCCACAAACACCTCCAAACTGAACGAAAAATCCATCTAAAATCGACAAGCAATGAAATCGAAAGTTTTCAACAGTTGAAGCTAGGTAACTTACAAAGGAGTGAAGGACAAAGCAGCGCAGGAACATGAAGAAGTGAAGACCACTTCTACAGTGTAGCAGAACTACAACAATTATTTCCGAGATCAATCATAATGGCTTTAAATTCGACACCAGCGCCAGCAAAGGGGACCAGATGTGGGTCCCGACGAAGAAACCCAATCGACACAATTACGCAACCAGCAAACGATTTCAACAGACTTAGAGTCTGCAGTGAGCAGGTGTTACCGTGTGAGACCGCAAACCACGGTCTTGGGATGTAGGTCAGCAATCCTGCACAGTTAGCGTGCTCTGATTTAACGTCCCCATTAACATGCACCTCCAGACTGTCAGAATGCTTAAAATTCCTTGCAGTTTGCATTTAATTACGGTCTTCGCGACTGGGAGGGTCCATTACTACATGCACACCTAAGGAGATACTGTACACTTCTAGAGCACAAGATATGCCAAATTACTTGAGTAAAGAACGGTTGGAGTGCATGAGGTTGTCACCTTAAGGATCAATATACAGGCGTCTGATGCAAGACAATTTCCAGAATGAATCGCTAATTTCGTTTTAGTATCAGAATAAATATAGAGAAGCTGTCGCTGAAGCTAAAGCAATGACAAGTGCAGATACAAAATTGACACCAGTGTTGCTCATGAGATCATGCCCCGCTATCCTCTGCACTGTTGGGCCTGGTTTTCCTACCACCTGCAACGCATCAAGTAAACCATCAGAATAAATTCAGCGTTACTGAAACCCAGAAACTCGTAGGAATTCGCCAAAGAGGGTACAAAGTCACATACCTTCTTCCGAACGACGCAGTTTCCACTAAATTGAACAGTGGCTCCAAGGAATGAATCCAGCACGCTTCCAAGCAAGCCACACAGAGTACCCAGTGGGAGAGCCAGCCACTGCATTCCCCAAACTGGGCCTTCGCAGCGAGTAGAAAACAATCCTACCAGCACAAATACTAAACCTATGAACGTTCCTCCGGCAGCTGCGGCAGCCGTGCCTAACACAGACACACCTCCATTCGTCCCCCGCGGCACTGGCTAAATGACGACACGTCAAGACTCAGAGTGAGTTAAAAACTATATAATTCACAAGGCCATGTAAGGGGAATATTACAGGGTTGTGATCTCATGCAGATGCAAATGCAGAGACTGAACCAAGGCGAGAGTTCAAAAGGGAAGCTTTACCTTAAACGAGGTGATGAGTCGAGGCTGAATTTTGCTTAGTACTCCCAATTCCGAAGACCATGTGTCTCCGTTGCAGCACGCATAGTGACCAAGAACCCCAGCCAGCATCGCTGTTACCAACGGAGCTCTCTGCGAATCCAAGCATGTATCCTGCCAGCCCGTTGATACTGCCACACCTAATGACAGTAGCGTTCCCACTAATGCATTTGCAAGCACCTGTGACCTAAGGCGTGCCAATTTTTTTGTTAGTTCCTGCAAAGACCTACGTAACCCTGCTCCTACCATGATCGTGTTATGTATTAGATAATGATGCCCGTTTCAGGGTTAGAGTTAAGTTATGGAGACATATTTTCCATCACAAAAACATCTACACGCGATTTCAAATAACCCCAGAGATATCCCAATGGGTGGAATGCAGCAAATTTTAGAGTTTCTCAAGTACCCTAAATTTTGTAGGAAAATCGAAGAAGCAGAATTCGACAGTCATTCCAAGAGCTTACCAGTCACGCTGGCCTCCCGCCTTGAAATCTTCATCTATACTCTTTTTCACATCTGACCTGTATTTGGTCAGCTGCGAAGAGCTGAAAAAGAATGCGAGTATCACCGCTCCAAACCTGAATGTTTACGATTTCAGTCAGCTAGATAAGCACCAAATATTTGTACTGAACATTTCACAAGAGGAACATTAGCAAGCAGCAAAAATAAATAGATAAATAAACAAAACACGAACCGCGGACCGGCAGTCAAAGAGATCGTGAGGAGCATTAAACCAGCCAAAGCCCCAGACGTAGACAAAGACTTGTGGCGCCACGATCGCAGAGCGATTAAACTCGACACAGCAGCAGCAATAAGGGGCCGCCCTATTCCCAATTTGCTCCCAATGTCCATTGCTTCCCAGTTAGCTATTCCTAGAGGCACCCACAATCTAAGCCTGAAGGAATTGAACAAAACTTAAGCATAAGCTGAAAGATTTTTAGTTTAGAGAAAGAACAAGTACTAAACATTTAGTAACTCACAGCCCGTCGCCGGAATCCCGAAAGCACATGTATGGATGATGCTATTTAGAATAGTGTTGCAGAAGGAACAGCTTCATACTTTCATTCGTCCAAAAGTCACCAGAGGGAACAAAGCTCTTTGGAAAGTGCACCCATCTCCGTTCTGGCAACTGTCAGAATTGGTTTGTGAATGTTTTCATCAGAGTCGAAGAGGAGGAAAGACTCCTCTTTATTGTCGTTTCCATGATTTATTTAGTACAGACGTGTTTTTTCCAACTTTGTGGTCGAAGGAATTTTTGTTGACGTCGGCTGTTGCAAGATTGTGGCGAACTCTAACCCAGTGACGATGGATGTCATGGAAGGAGAGACGGGACGGCCAGATTATCTAAAGTACGATGATGTGGTGAGTGCACATCGCTGGCCAGAATTTGACAACCATCGTTGTGGGGTTTTTTGTAGTAAATGAAGTACGCGCAGATGCGAGGCATGTTCTCGTGGGGTATTTTCACTCAGATTTGAGCCTCGGATTCGACGGCCAAACTTCAATGTTGTAAAAATGCAAGCACTGCCGAAATGCTCAATTGGGTACGATATCATATTGTAAGGAGCACGCTACGAAGGGTTTAACTTATTGTCGCTCTTGGTTGGTGAGCAGGAACTGCTGAATAGAATGGACGCCGAATATCTAGTACAACATCTGACTCTCTTTCCAATTGAGCAGGTATACTCACTCACTATCGCCACTTATATGTTGTGCGAAGCGTGCATATCAGTATTCCAGATGTTTCGATCTCTGCAAGTTCATCTATTAAAGTACTTCGCTTATATGTGCGAACTTCCCTCACTCTGTTTGCTGATACATTCTCAAGTCACCTTTACATTGGATCCTTACACACAAATCGCACCTCTACTTTGTTATTTGTGTTTTGTAATCAGGTTTGAAAAAACATCATGTAATTTGCATTTAAACTAACATGGCTGCAAATTTTTAAGTAATTAGTCCTATGCTGGTTTGAGTAAGTTTTATCGAGAGAATTTAGGGGCGTTAGCCGGAAAGAACGAAGGCTCCATGTTTTGTGACATCTTGCAATACATTCTGAGAGAGTGCGCAGATTGGAAGTAGGAAATGGTTAACACAGCACGCAAATCTGGAGAAACTCAACTTGCAGGTTAGCCTTTGAGAGCCCTCACTTTTTACTGTTTTTGAGACCTTCCTGTAACATGCTCATTTTATGAGAGTTCGGAAGTTTTTTAGATGTGAGGATAATTTAGGGTTCTTTTGTACTGAGCTGTAAAAGTTCTTCAGCCAGCACATGTAGTTCCAAATATTGAAGAATACGTATCCATTTTTAGAAAACAGGGAATTCATCAACTGAAGGTAAAGCTTTTACGGCGCGAGGCAAGCTGAATCTAACCAAGCGCCGGATGGTTTGTCAGGCGCATTACAACACAATGGTGCATAATGACGAATTCGTAATGGTGGTATGAAATATCTCTTCGCCCTCCACTTCAAAATTTTACAAAATTTAACCCCGTAGATTTGCTTGACTCTTCAACAATCGTTTGATAGAACTCATTTAATTCAGATTGTACTGGTGCATTTGGTGTCAATAAAATGTACAAGAGTTTGAGTGATCGGGTCTGGGGTACATTGCGTTCACAGGCCTTAACTTCTCACGACAAATTGGGATTGCTTATACATGAGCTGCTAGTGATTGAGGTCAGTAACGTATACGCCTGACAAGTGTAGCTTCATGGCCTGCATGAACAAATATCCTTCTCGATGTTGTTAGTATTTCCTGGCTAAGGTATCTTGACATCTCTCAGTCTTCGTGCCCAAGGTTACAGTTAGTAACTGAGCACACTTCTCCGACGCATTTTTCTCTTTATCAGAAAATGGAATCAATGCCTCTGTTTTCCTTTTTTCCTTTTTCTGTTTTCTCCTCCTTTTTCTCTTTCTCATGACCTGAAGTTCACTGTCGCAGATTTGGAAAGAAAAAGTGCTCCCGCATATCCTTAAGGCACTTGCTGAGCAGCCTTCTAACATCAATATTCACCTTGTTTTATACCAAGAAACGACCATTGTTAACTTGCTTGAGGTTTCTGTGAACTTTGGCTGACACCACATAGTTCTCATGCTTTCTTCTTGTTATCGATCTCGTGAACAGTGAGCCGCTTCGTCCTTTATAGAGCTCAGACCCATTTGGCAATGATTGATTCGCCCGTTTAAAGTTCATTTTCCAAACCTCCGAACGTTAATGACAAAGAGGATAACATAAATTTGCAGAGACAATTAATAAAGTATATTCCTTCTGTCGTGACTATCTGTAAGATCTGGGCGTAGGTGATTTTGTTTCACCGGGAAGTATGCGAAGCCATGGATGCGGATTCTTTATTGGAGGTATGATTTGGTCTCTGGGTGTCCACTCGCTTTATTATTGCTTGCACCTACACACCTCACAACGTTCTCATGCAGAGAATCTTGTGATTGCAATAATCTTATATCATGTGATTTTATCTCCGGTTTGTGACAGCTCACAGATTATTGCTACCGCAAACTTGTGTATCTCAACACTCAGGGGGCCGAGGATGCAGCATACAAAGGTTCATTGAATTCACTTCGTTACTTCCCCTTAAAATCACCTTGAAGTTTATAAAAACCACTTGAAAAGGAGATCTGAAAGTTTTGAACTGCTGGTTGACTGTTTTTCGCCATTGAAATTGCCGTCCTCTGCTATTCTAGTCTCAGCCTTCAGCTTTAAGCAATAATACTTGCTGGGACCCTAAACCTGGAGTGACAAACGTGTGCTACATTGCAACTTGCATGTGCAGAACGAAGCGGAAAAGCAATTTCAGAAATGTTACCTGAGGAGGATCTTCAAGAAAAGGTTCGAAATCAACTCTAGTGAGTGTAAAGTCGAAGTAGAACAAAGCTCACGTATGTGTGTCTGCATTTGTGACGGTTAACCGATGCATAAGTTGTTTGTTTCAACGTTCAGGCAGCTGGTATGGAGTTTGGAGTTGCCGTCTGCTCCATCTCTATTCTCAGGTAACCCGTTTCCCAAGGAAGCGAGTTGTTTCATGTTCTAATTTCTTTCTCTTTGCCTTGTGTCTATATAGACAATCTACCTTTGCGACGCGTAGTGTTCGGAAGAGAATCGTAGAAGACTTTCTTTTAACCTAAAATATTGCTGATTCTGATTCCTAGTTGCACAAACTCACACATGTGTTGATTTCATTGCAGATATCTAACAGATTATATGGGTGCTCTCCCCCTTTCTGTTATGGTGAGTCATGTAAATACAAAACATTCCAACTCTTTGGAGTTGGAGTGCTTTCCAAGTTATGCAGGCTGAGGATAGCGTGTGTGTAGCTTGGAATCGTGCCATCAATCTTGCTTTTGTGCATCCTCAAGTGAGATCAGGAAAAATGTATCTATTCTTTGTCAATTCGAGATTGGTTGATTTGACGTTCTCAGAACAGCTGATGTTGAAGAATAATGCAGGCACGAATGCTGGATTGCCACGATATTATCATGGCCCTCGTTCCGCTTGTAGAGAACCCTCCATGGAATCGAAAAAGAACTCGATCCGGAAAACCGGTGGTTGGAACCTGCACGAAGTTTAGGCATTTCTAGTGGATCTTTACACGTAAATAAAGGCTGTCGTGTATCTCTGTATGCGTTGTTCCCTCCACTGCGGATATAATTCAAGTATATAATACACAGCTTCGCCATTTATCAGTGAGGAACCCTGTTACAACGAAAACAATCGAATTTGACCCAGGCGCATATTGAATGTCAACTGTGACTCTGCATTATTTTTGCAGCTAGAGAAATATGCAGAAGGAAAGTGGACAGAAGTGTCGGGATCTGACCGCTTCAGGTTGATGAAGCCCGATGCCCAGGTTTTATTTACCTCTTTGAGTCTTACTCTCTTTGCTCGTGAAAAGCCTACTTGGTTAATGTCATCTTTTAAAGGTTTGCATGAAACGTCTTGCAGTAGGAACTGAAACAGCCGAAAAGTAGTGGCATCTGTTCACATCATTACCATGAGTTTCAATGTAAACAAGCTGCACAGACTGTTAACGAGCATCTTCACGTCGCATCTTCACGATGACAAAATAATCTCTTGTTCGCGGCTCGTTCCAGCTGTGGTTATGTATATACAATCTGATTGTGGACAAGAGATGTCGCCTCAAGTATAATTACGATGATTTTAGACGATCGCAAGTTCTCAAGGTCTTTTTATTTTTCTTCCTTTTATTTTGTTTTTTATATTTTCTTATGTTTTTTCAAGTAACCTTTCCCAACTATAATTCATGTTGGACTTTACCTCTCCCCTATATGCTGACATCAGAATTCAAAATCGTAAAACTGTGTGCAGCTGCGAAAGTACCTGAATAACTTGCTCGTTGATCAGCTGCCCGTCCTCAAGGATCTGAAATGGGTTAGTATTGTCTCTCCCAGCAATGTTATCTTCTCCTACTTGGAAGAGATTCCAATGCCAAAGGCATGTCCCGCATGTCACTGTTTATTCACTGAGCCTGAGGCTCAACATTGGGAACATCGTAAGTTTCAGTTGCTACGCCTCGTCACTGGGTAAAAGCTCCCATTAGATCTTGAGGTGAGCCTTGCATCACATGAGAGTGTTTGACAACAAGTTTGTGTTCATGGATTATTTTTTTACTGGCAGGCAGTAGAGCAGCTGGCGATACAGGTTCCACAGACTGGTGTTGAATCTGCATCAGGCAGGCTGATCATTGAACAGGTCATTTCTTATAATAATTCCTTTACATACCGTTAATCAAGATGTTATTTGAAGGATTACCTGATAGAGTCGCTGTAAAATAGCATAAAAATCATGTTTCAGGTACCTGAACTCCGGGAGAAACTGATGGCCAAAAACAATTGGAGTAAGGAGCATTGGAACCTTGAAAATTTCTCATTGTTATCATATTAAGCATTCATTGGGAATGAATCAATTAAGAGGTGCCTAGAAATAGGAGGGAAATCTAGCCAGGAAAGTATGTAACTCAAGATGTTGGTTAGAACTAACAAATAAAATAAAAAATATTAAATCGTAAATGGTTTATGACGCCTCTAGACACAATTTCATGAAGCATAATTTAGGCGAACCCTTTTTCTGCAGGAGTGATTGCCCAGAAGCAATTGCAAAGTGTGTTTTCAGAAGCCTCCAGCGCAACACAACGCGAAGCTCAAGAGATGCTCAGACTGTTCCAATTTGGGGTATTGTAAGCTCGCTCTCAAAGTATTCAGTAAAGCATAGTGTGCCGCTAAAAGGCACCCAACTGATTCAGAATGTTACAACACATCACCTCGGTGGCACAACTTACATTGGTGGTGCAGGAATTGATGGAGCAACCCACTTGTGCGGCGTGCAAGAAGGCTGCTGTTCAACGATGCTCCCGTTGTAAAAGCGAATGGTAATTTAGGAACGCACAATCTTTTGCATTTCCCGAAAAACCGCAGGTAACATATTCTAGGTTTGGATTGAATTATTAGCCTTTCACGACTAACAATGTGAGTAAGTATTCCTGCACCACTTCTAGGACGAGAACGAGAATGTTTACACAAATACGTTAAATTGGAACATACTAACCTAAAACCCGCCGCAATATTTTCCATTCTTCAGGTATTGTGGACGAGAATGTCAGGTCTCTGTCTGGAAGATGCACAAGGGGGCTTGTGACATACTTGCCGGAAAAGTTGAAAAATCAGGAGTTGCTCAAGCAGACATCAGTTTAGATCCAACTTAGTTCCCATCATTATATATCCAAACAATCATAAATCTGATTGGATGTTACATGTTGCTGCGGAGATGTTTGGTCAAAGAGAAAGAACTTTTCCCAAAAAGAAGTTAGAAACTACATGATGTGGAGACGTAATTGCTCCACTACATAAAACACTAACAGCAATTGAAACTGCAGTGGCCACCACGTAATCACCTTCTGATGCAAGCGTAACGTAAAAAAATCAGTGCTTTACTTATTAATTCACTACACGTTTGTCGAAATAGCTCGTGTAATAACCGGTAAGACCAGAAATCATTTCAGGGCACGTCTGAAACATAGTTACTTCTTCCTATGGTTCTTGAAAAGATCGGTAAATAGTCTAGAAACCAAATCAGCCTGAAAAGAATTCGATGAACTAGAAAGCTCCTCCCTGGAGAGTAGCACCTCATAAAAAATTGCAGGCAAAAGTATCCGCTGTTTATTGTAGGTAGAAGTAGCAGTTTTGTCACGCCTTGGTACCAAAACTTATATATGCTTGAACTGACCTGTATCAGAAATAAATCGACGGTAAGAAGGAGTTGACGTACCAGAAACAAATGATACCGATGCTACAGCAGGCAGGGGGGTAGGTCCCTCAATTCTGGGTAGAATCGTGAAGAAATAAAATTGCAGTGGATCAATGCCTTGACATCATAATTTACACATGTACACGCCACTCAATCGCGACAGGATCATCCTCTACTGAGATGTGTCAGTTTACCATGCCGCGTTCGGACCGATAAACCTGTGATACTTCTGGTACTATTGTTACGAGATTCGCTTCTGCTGATTTCTCCATTTTCAGCCATTATAACATCTTCGTCATCACTCACCCGCGAATCCGCAAGCCTTTGCTCCCAAAGCTCTCCTCGGTTATCTGAATCATCTTCGGCAAAGCCTACAAGTCCTGACTGATTCCCACTACCAGCTGGACTGGGATCAGACCCGATATCATTGTAATTGTGAGAATAAACGGTAGGTCTCTGATGGTCATCACCACAGTCGCGTCCAATATCCTGTTCTTTTTGTGTTACATCAATTGCTGCTTGATTACCGAGAACATCCTTCTCTGGGACGACAAAGGCCACAATCTCTCTCTCTCTCTCATGCCTTGGCAGTTCAGTTCCTTAATTGAGCTTACGCTGTGCCTTCCCACAAAGCTCTCTTTTCCTAAGTCTTGCAGTTCCTGAGCCGATCCCAGGCTTTGTCTCAGCATTCTCTCCTTGAACTTCTTGAACTTCAAAAATTCAAGATACTCAGCTTCAGCACACTCAAAACTAGGCTTCGTAGAGCTTTCAGACGTAGGGCTTGCATCAGCCGTGGCAGTTTTCTCCTCGCCCATGTTGGATTTCGCATCCTTCGGTGGTTTCTCGATACTTTCCACCTTCTCGTCCCCGCTGTTCTTTTTACCATTCTTGTCTTTGACTTCAAGAGGCTTGAGAGGCTCCTCAATATCACCACAGAAGGTGGCCATCCGGGTCTCGAAGTAGCGGGCGGTGGTGTAGGTGGAATGGATTTGACCCTCAATGCTCCACCTCAGTTTCTTCCCCTCCATGTGCTTGGGGAAACGCCACATCATAGTATCGTCAAACTCGGCACTGGTGAAAATGACACCACCCTCACTTGTGAAGGGAAGCTCATCCAGTGGGTTGCTTGGCATCCGCCTCCCGAACCTCCACTTGGAATTTCTATCAGCCATCCGCATGGTATTCGATCGGTTGAAAATTATTCCTTTTATTGATTGTAGTGTGCACACGAAGCTGCCGCCTCGCTCATCCTTCAACGGAAGCTGCTCAAACCTCCATGGCCTGTTCTTCATTGTAGACGTCACGCCGATGGAGGCCGAAGCAGTCATTCCGCCACTGATACCTCTAGTCGCACCATCGCCAGCATTAGAGCCAACTTGCACGTTCTCCATCTTTCCAATCTTCACAATGATATTTGAGCTCGAGTTTGTCATGGTAACTCCAGTTCCCTCTTTCGTTATCGGTGTCACTGACAAGTTGACCAAACTCGGGAAATGGCCCATGCAATCAGGGTCCCATCGAGAATTCTCCACCTTGAACCTCACATGCTTGATTCCCACCACGACCTGCACGCGCCAAGCCATGTCGGTAGTATCAACTTCTCAACCACATCAACGGCAGTTTCCTCACCACAGAGTATGCCTAGTGAAGTTCGTGGCGAACGTGCGAATATTTACGGAAGCAGGATAACATAACAGGTCCAATACAGTAGGCGATTCCATGAGATTCGATCAAGGCAAGGTGAGAGAACCTGAAGACAATTGGGCAGAGCTTCAACAATGGCAGTGAGCTGAATGTTGACTTTGGCGCGTTGGCTGAAGAGCTGGGTTAGCTGCTTGTAGCGGCGAAAGGGTTCCTCTTCCTGCAATGCATGCTCCACGGGCATCATCAGAAGCGGAACTTCCAATTGCATCTCCCAAAGGCCATTCATGGCCTGAGCCACACATCGAGGTCGGCCGGTCTCGGGGCGCGGAGAATCACGTCCTCCTCGTTGGATGTGTCCCCACAACGCATACAGGATGCCATCGTGGTAGTTCTTGGTGCTCAGCTCTTCCACCAATTGATACATGACGGTGTCCATTTTGGCGCGCTGGCTGATTATCTTTTTCCCGCCATGATCGAAACTTTTCTTCGGTCCCGAGCCGCCGTGGAAAGAATCGGCTAACATAGTGTTCTCCAAAGCGCGTTGCCGAAGCAGAACCTTGAACACCTCAACATGACAGTGAGTAGCAGAGATGACCGCCGCCCGCCAAAGCAAGTACAAGCTGTAAGCCGCGCGTATACAATCGTGCAGCTCCACGGCAACCCCGGCTAGGCCCTTCAGTTCCCATCCCTTAGAACAAGAGATTGGAGCAGCAGCCGGGAGCATATCCTTGGTGGATGAGAGCTTCCCAATCCAGTCTTTGCCCGGGACGATGGCGGCCTTCTTCACGAACGGGTACGAAGACGCCTCCTTCTCCTTCCATTTCGTGGCAATGACATACCCCATCATAGCCGTGCTCGCAGATATCATCGGCCGCAGAAGCTCCCGAATGACCTCCTGATGGCCATTTTCAGCAGCTTTCAAAAGTGCAAACGCATTGAAGCGACTAACGAGAATGCTCCCGCTGTGCTTCTCCCTCTGGATCTCCCGCAGGCGACGAACGCAGTTAATGTGTCCTCCCCAAGCTGCCTTCACCAGTGCATGCCCGACTACCTGAGGCTCCACAGCATCCTCAATCATCAACGAGCCAATCCCACGGCTTGGTAACGATGTGTCATTCTGGCTCGAAAAATCCGGTGCATCGCGCCATACTGCTGCCACGCTAGGGTGCGACGACTCCGACGCCGCTAACTTCAACACCTGTTCTAAGTTCAGTGTCTGTGTCTTAACAGCCTGTAGCTCTACCTCCTCAAGCGTATCCTCGAGAGTCGGCATCAAGTCCCTCGCCTCCTCCTTCAAGCCTCCCATTGAAGCTCCTTCGATTCCCTTCTTCCACTTCACAACCTGGAATCTCGTTCAACCGTCACCTCTCGCTGCTTGACACAAGCACAGCTCCAAATCCTCCTAATCCTTATCCAGCTCATGAACCTTTCCTGACTACACTCTCTCCCTTCGATCTCGTTACTTAGAATCCAGAGAATTACAAAGCCTCGCCGTATTCTGACACCTCCACCTCGATTCCAAGCTGCGCATCATTCCCTCTACTCTGCCTTTATCTATGCTCCTCTTCCACCCAACAAATCAAATTCATAGCAACACAGTGCAATGTCACAAACCGTTGCCTCTCCATCAGTGAAACAATCACCGAGAAAATCCTCCAGGCCTGGTTCAGACAATCCGACTACACACAAATCGCAACCTCGGCACCAAGGCTTCGCTCCTACCGCACCCGCCGCTGCCTCCAAGGAGCGACACTCGGCGAACAACTCCATACCAGCACTAGTGACAGCGTTCCTTAAAACTCTTCAACCGTGAAGTTCATGGCGGCTTGCTTTACACTTAGCACCGGGCCCAGACCTGAATTGTACACCCGCTTCTTTGCTTTTCCTTCCTTTTCTATGTTCAGTTTTGGTATTCATGATTATGCCAACAACAAACAAAAAAAAACACGAAAACAACAGAAAACAACCGAAAACAGTGCTCAACGAGTTTTTTTTTTGTTGTTGTATGTTCTGGAAGGTGAACAATGATTGACATTCTGCCATCAATGAAATTGAAGGAGATGTACTATTCAATATCATATTAATTGTTATTCTTAAATGGTGCTTCCACATCTTTCATTTTTACACTGCGTGTCTGTATATACGCATATATAGATCTATTGAAAACGTGCAATCATAACCCTAATGATGACGTTTTTTTTTTTTTTTTTTTTTTTTTTTTCTCTCACTGATACATTCATTACATGATATCTTCATTGTGAAAGTGGACGATTCGCACCAAACTGTTGAATAATCCCATCCTGTGATCACACAGATAACGCTAATGTTCAAATTTCATTCCGAATTTAGTTGTTAAGACCGAGTGTTTTTTAGTATTGTTCTTCGTAGTTCTTCACCGCAAAAATTTGGACCTGATTACCCTTGACTGAACCAAGACAATCGAAGGATTACGAACGTGGGAAGCATGCATTGAGAGTTTCCAGGCTAATCAGGTCCAATGAAGTTTCATCCCGCCCTTGTGGTATGGCACTGGCAGCTTTGAATGAGGCCCTCGTGGGCAGTTTCGGCGGAGTGGATGGAGCTTGGGTTGGGACCCTGCCCCTAATTAACGTCAGGAGTAGGAAAAGCGGCATGCTCACTCATCCCTGATCTACTAGGTGTTCCAGTGCGGTGGATACTTGTGTCGACACCGTCGCATGACTTTCTTCCTCAGTTAATAGCAGCTTGGAGTAAGCATGGTGCTCTTCGCATAGACAAGGGAGCGGCGACTAGGGGCCTGGAGCTAGGAGACTGTCTTCAGATTGGAAAAGGATCGCATGCTCGATGTTGCGGCCAAGGCAGCTGTCCAGTGACGTGGGAACGCAGCGACGCAGTAAATCAGTCCACTCCTTGTAAGCGAAGGAGTGAGAATCTGAGGATAACCCGAATCCAGCACATGGCCAAATCACGGCTGTGAGTTAAAATCGTGTGTGGATTTCGAAGTGAAGCGGAAAGGCGACTTCTTCCACCGGAGCACCACTGTTACAACACAGAGGAATAAAACCTATTGAGATATGGGTACCAGTTCAAAGGGGCAGAAGGGGGAAAACATAGCATTAAAAAAAAGGAAACAGCACTCCGTGGTATTGTACAGTGGCTGGGAACCAACCAGGACTTCCTCTGACCTATGACTCGCCATGTCGACCATCGTGCAGTGCGCGACAGAAGAAGAAAGTTCTATGAAGCTCGGAATCGTGGACGATGCTGAAGACCAAGTGGCCACCGAAATGAAACATCAGAACTATATGCTTTCCGACGAATGCCACCACCTTCGACAAAAAACTACAGATTCAGAAAATGACTCCGACTTCAAAACTTTAAACATCGCTAGATTCTCGTCCTCTACCACCGCTCGGGCTAGAGCGCAGCCTGTGGAATTTGCTACTCCCTCAATTCCGTTCGTTGCTGTCTCGCAAAAGTGGGAACAAAATGGGTGGCTATATTTCTGCGTGGACCTTCATCGTCTTCATCTCTTTCGAGTGGAAAGGGCTTTGCTTCACAAGCCCCAATTTGGTACCGACCAGCTGGCCCGGCCCATGAGCGACCCTGCCCAGCAGAGCCGCATGAATCACATGCCACAGAGCATGAGCAAGAGCATGAAGAGGGACACAATTAGGGCTTCTCTCAACAAAGAAGTGCATCCAAGGTGAGGAATTTGCATGCGATCGAGAGCATAATGTTGTACTGATATTTCGACGTATTCTTCTTACAATCAAGTTTGTAGAACTGGATGTAAATTGCTGAGAGCACAAGGATTCGAAACAAAACCCGAATATATGAGTAACAGGGGTTTTAATTTTTTACTTTATTTTACTCAAAACGGATATACCCAACGCAATAATTTTGTAGACATGATCATTTCAAAGTGGGGAAGACTTTCATGGGGAAGACTTTGAGCGGCATTGTGACATGTTATTCTTCTAATCTGTGTTCTTCCTAGACCTGGGCATTGATGAATGCACAATGATTGTTGGCAAGTGCATTGATAAGCGTTGTGCAATAATGACTCATTGAAAATAGAATTACAGGATTAGCAAAAGCTCGAACTTGCAATAATTCTGGTTGTAAAACGAGTGAGTCAAGTTTGGCAAGCTTTACACCTTGCCAGTTGGTATTTACAGTTTTGTAACACACTTTGCAAATCATTCATCACAAGGAGTGAGGCAGTGGAATTCAAAGCACTCTCCCGTGTAGGAGTTGTATTCCGCTTTGAGGGTCATTTCATTCTGATTCCAACTGATGTTTGTGATCTCATGTATATTACATGTAATATACACATACATATAGAAATATATATATATATATATATATATGTATTGAACGAACATGCAGAATCAACTCACATGGTTCCAGTGCAAGGTAGGAAAATGCTACTAATTCTATTTCCTCTATGAAAGAAGATGGTACTTTTGGAACAACACAAGCATGTGTGTGTATGTATATATATATACACATTTTGGTTTAACATAAAGAATAAACTCAATTGTTATTGTTTTAAGATTTGTGATACTAATATGCGAATTCAAATTACATTTATATATACATTCTAAAGCTATAGGTTTATTACTTTTTTATTAAAATTTTACATCTTTTTATTTATTATTTATTACATTATATGGAGATCTATATTGGCTAAGCATGTAGAATTAGGTGAAAATAGAGAAGATAAACTATACATATATATATATATATATATATATATTTATTTATTTATTTATTTATTTATAAATTTTTTACTTATTATTTACTACTTGAATTTATGTCTGCAATTTAAGTATAACAAGATTCATACTAAATTTAAAGTATGGCATTGATCACAATTACTAATTAAATTTTAAAAAAAATTGTAAATAAATGATCATGCTAATTAAATGATGATGTATGATTTTACATAATAATCACATTAAATGACATTTTTCTTAACACTATATAGAAAATTTTAATTTTTAAAGAATTTTTAAATTTTAATAATATTTATTTATTGGTATCTAGAAAATAATAATAATTTTTATGAGATCTCGTATATTATTTGTTCGAAAGATATTTTTGAATACAATGATAAAATTAGATATTTTTGAGTAACCTAAATAAATATATTTATCAATTTTTCTCATGCCACAATAAAATATCAGCAAAGTTTTAATTTAACAATTTTAAGGACTAAGATAATTAAAAGTTTAAATTTTAAAAATTTATCTATCTATCTATTCATCTCTATTTTATACAAAGCTTAATGCCAGAATATTTTAGTTAATAATGGATGTGAGGGTAGAATTCAGAAATAAATATAAGAATATACAAAGATTTGTGCTCTTAGAGCTTCTTCTTTACAAAAAAAAATAAAAACTATTCAAGAAATTACTTTATTTTTACATGATTTATGAATACATTAAATTAATTGGAGAAGATATTACCAAAATATGGATTAAATAATAAATTTAATCATTTTTTTATAAAATAATTTATTTATTGTCACATTTATTATTTAGTAGTTTTTTATTTAATTTTGTATTATAAATTTATTATTATTATTATTATTTTAATTAGTTTTTTTGGTTCGTGTCTATTTTGTTTTTCAAGATTTAAAAATTATTCTTAATGTATTTATATATATAAAAAAAAAATGTTCCTATTTTTGCATATATATATATATATATATATATATATAAAAAAAAACAAGGACTACAAAACATCTTTAAATTAGAAATCAAAATTAAAATGAGATTTGATATGTCATCTAAACAACTCAAAAGAGTGTTATTTTAAAGATATTTTTAAAGAAAATGTATGATTTACTTCAAAAGCATATGTTTTAATTTTAATTTTTTTTGAATGTCGATTTTTTAATGAATAAAAATAATTCTCTCTCTCTCTCTCTCTCTCTCTCTCTCTCTCTCTCTCTATATATATATATATATATATATATATATATATAATTAAAATCTACTCTTTTTTCTTCCCTTTTTTTTTTTTTTTTTTTTTTTTTTTGTAGGCCCAAAAATTTTTGCACTCTTAATCTATTTTTATCTTGAAGTTGTTAAACTTCTACATATTAGAAAGCCTGATTTGCAAGCCTCACGTGCAAGCCCCTTTATATGGGGGCTGTAGCTTTATTTTAATCAAGTATAAAGAGGTCCAACAAACATTTTTCTTTGTACTTCATAGCGTATTTGTACTTTAATTTTTTAAATTTCCTTCAAGTTAAAGCTATTTCAATTGTAAATCTCACTACCATAAGAATTATTTTAGTTATAAAAAAACATTTAAAGATTATTAAAAATAATATATCTGCAATCTAAAAAAATAAAAATAAATAAATAAATATACTTTATTATAAGTAATGGATGTATTTATATTAAATATGGATTGTTTTATCTAAAACATGCTTAGGTTTTTTTTAAATGATTTATTCTTTCTATAGATTCAACAAATCAAGATCTCAAATAAAAAGCACAATAGGTGTTATACAAGACATGCTTAATATGTTTGAAACTCTAAGAAATTTTATGCAAAATGTAGTCACACCAATGTTAAGAACACAATAGAGACTTGACATTAGTAATGTAACATGATAAAAATCAATTGTACTCCTTGTTAACATATTGGTTTTAAAATTGATTCAATAGTCTTCATATTCTTTTTTTATATAATTTGAATATGATTTCTACATCTATATTTAACATGTTCTTTTAATTTTAAAAAATTAAATACATAATTAAAACCAAAGAATTTATTGTACATAGTAAGAATATTTTTTATTTCTTATATATGGTATTAAAAATAGTAGATTATCTTTTGAATCCTATTTAAGTAAAATGGTTTAAATTATCCATGTTCTCTTTATTTGTATTTTACTTTTTATATATTTAAAAAAATAGTTGTTGAACAACAAGTATTTGTACCCAATTTGAGGAGATACTTGAATGTTAATAAAATCATGTCTATTAACTAAGCATTGTAGAATTTACAATATATTAATAAAAGCAAAGATAGTACTTTTAAAGATAGATTGGTCTGAAAGCAATGTATCTATTTATCTTTTGAACCAATAAAAAGATTATACTATCATAAGAATAAAGCTTATGTCTGTGATAGGATAGATTATTTTTTATTTGGAAATTAAGCAAAACATCTAGACTTATATTGCAAAGTAGTTTTTGTTACAAATTAACAAATTTTGGTTTGATGATTTTTATAGATAGTAATGCTTTTAAAGGAATGCATTAGCCAATATTAAGTAGCAAAATAGAGATGTCTTGCTGATGACCCAATTTATACAAAGTGTAGTTTGTAGAAACTTAACCATTTCCATTCTTTCAACACCACTTGCAATTTATTGCATTGTTGATAGGCATACAAAACCTCATTGATGCACTGCATCCTATCCCAAACTCAACAACCTTTACAAATAATTGGAGACTACAACCTAGATTAGCATCATAAATTTTTTCAAAAACCAATTTATTTCTTCTAAGCTCAAAATTGAAGAAAAAAGATTAGATGACATACAAATAAAGGTATAAAAAAATAAAAAAAGAAAATAAGAAAATAAAAAAGAAGCAGAGATGTACCAAGATGCAGACATAAAATAATAATAATTATAATAATAACAATAGTAATATAAGTGTGTGGAGAAAAGTGTGTCCTCAAAATTGAAGAAAAAAAAGAAGTTAGAACCATCAAATGTATAGGGACTTACATGCACACAAAGGGCTCCCAAAAGGGGTTCACCATGCCATTGGTTTTTGACAAGCACAAGAGAGGAGGTAGAGTTGGGAAAAGCAACAAGAATTGCTTCTAATGTGTAGAAGACTATTGTGGTAATATCAGATGGGCATGGGTCACATTATAATTGCTGAACACAGTTTTAGGGCAAAAAGTTTTGGCTTTGCCCTAAGCTTAAGGCTTACCCACATGAGTTATTCACACCATTTAGATTTTATTCAGTAAACATAGCTTACATTTGTTTTGCTTTGCACCACTCGGCAGCCTTGTAGCGAACTGCTATTAATTTTTCCATGTTTGGGTTTATTTGTTGGTCCCAACAATTTTTTCTGCGCTGGTGATGCTGTTTCCATGCAATCCTAATTATACTTCCTTTTGGGTTCAGTTTCATTACGAAACTTCGACTTGTCGTTGCTTTTCATAAACTGTATGACTTCTTGCATAGATAGGAATGGGACTGTGAACTCAAGGTGTAGAATTTTGATTACATTATTTTGTTTAGTTTTGATTACAACAAAGAGAAGCTGTTACTGAGTAGAAGCAAAATTCAAGAGGAAAGCTGTAGACAGAAATAAATGAATAAATAAAAGGCAAAAGAAATTGTGTTCTAATATTAACCCAACTATCCACCCTACCAAAATGGAATACACGTAAGGAACTCATGCCCAGGGCATGCAAAAGCAGCCAAAAACTTTTCGAATTTATTTATGGTTGATTTCCTCTCTAAAATAAAGGACCATTATTTATTATTTATAATTTTTATTATTCATAAAAACAGAGAAGAGTAGTTAGAGAAAGTCTCCAAGTGAAGTCATTATGCCCCTCTTGCTATTGATATACTTTGGAAATTCCCGAGTCCTTTACTTGTTTGCAAAGCAATGTTGTTTCTCTACAGAGATAACTTTTGATTTTGATTTTAGAAATCACGGCATTAAAATGTGAATAGCATTTTCACTTTAAACTTTCATAATGTATTTTTGTACTATGTACGTACGTACGAATGGGTAGGGTTATTTTTATATACTCACCTTTAACATGCACAATGAATGTGCAAGTTAGTGTAGTTGGTCAATACATGTGCATGTTTTTTTTAATATATTTTACCTTTTTCTCGATGATTTTAAAAAATTCGCTTTTTTTTAAAAATGAAAATTTAAGATTGATTTCTAACTTTTTATAGATTTAAAGAACCTTAAACAAATGACAAAAGATAAATGAAAAATAATGAAAGAATAAGATGTAGATTGAGTGAAAATTGTCTATATGATGATAAACTCAAAAGTTCTTTATTTTTATTTATTTTTTTTTATTTTTTATAATTGTGCATAATTAATTTTATTTTGAGTTCATGATTTGATTATAGTTTAGCACGACTAATTGATTCTAATGAAGAAAATATTAACGTTTTTAAATTCACAATAATTAAATGGTTCCATTTCAAGCTGAATTTACTTTGTAAACTTAAAATAGTATTTTTGCTCTACTCAATAATTATCTACTCATTCCATTCTATAGTGATTTGTTGGTTCTGTTCCATGATCATTGATTATTTCATTATAATTTATTCATTGATTTTACTCTAAACAATTAGTTTTTGGTCAAAATAATGAATTTATCTATTGTCTTTGACTTCTGATAGGGAAAAACAAACCTTTATCCTGTATAAAGACCTATAATTTCTTGAAATATATTGATAAAAGATGTCAAGTTATTTGAAATTGTTGGTTAATTTAAGTCCTATCTATTCTACTTATGGTGTTATATGACTTGCAACAAAAAATAATATTAATTTAAATAATCCTAATTGTTATATTTTAAAACATCAAAAAAAAATACCATTTGTTCGTAGAGTTAATATTTGAATTGATAAACTTATTCTTATAATAAAATAATAATTAGATATTAGACATAATTTTAATTTGATTTTTCTATTTCAAGTAGATTAATATAGAAGATATTTAATAGAATACATTAAGAGATATGTTTAATTGAATCTTCTTAAATATATAAAATATAAACCTTTCAAAGGAATTTGACGAGATAAAATTATAATTTATTTAATTCTTAAAAAAAATATGCATATTAGACTTTAATTAAAATTTGTCTTAAAAATATTTTTATTATTTTAGAATAAAAATAAATATAGATAAGTAGAAATAAATCAAAAGAATGTTACCTTTGTACAAAATATTATTGAATTTTTTTAGACATGGTTTGTATCCAAATACATTTTTATATGTACCATGTGACTATATATAATATCTCTTTGAAGTTTTTTAGATCTAAGGTTTAGTTATAGAAGTGTCACATAATTTAAATACTTATTTGACAAGCTTCATCATTCTAAAGAAGTTTTATGATGATTTTATTTAATTTATTAATATGTATAGAGATAAGACTAAGCTTATCAATATTCTTTTTTATACCACTCTTACACACAAGACTTAATTCAAGATTATTGATGTTATATAAATGGAGTTGTTAAAACTAAATTCCAATGTTGTTGAAGCTACATTCCTTCTTGCCATCTCATGATTGTCTATCCCTGTATCTCTCTTCCGTTTCTAGCCCCATATCCATGTTCTTGTTTCTCATTCCTTGTCTCCAATCCCAAACTCCTCTCATCCTCGTCCTTATTTTTTGACCCATATTGCAAATAAGTTCCACACCTCTTCTAAATTTATCACAAATTTTACTTGAGCTTGCAATAAAAATTCAGTGTGGTGGTATTCATAGTGATGGTCAAGTAGGTAGAGCTTAAACAACCTTGACAAATACTTCTTTCTATACTCCACATTTTGAAAAAATAAGAGAATAGCTTGATAATATTGAGGCTGTTACTCTCTCTTAAGAATAATAACTAATTCTTAGGAGTCGCTATGATATTACAAGTATCAACATAAGACCAATCTTCTTTTCCAACTATCCACTACCAAAAATTGACAACAAGACTCATAAACCTTAAGAGCCAACTTACCATGTAATATTCAATAACCATCTATAAGACCTCCTCAAAAGATTGCATTCCCATGAAACTAACCTCCATTTTTCATTGATCTATGTAATACACTAAAAATATCCAAATAATCCTAATAATATCCATGTATCTTCCCTACAAGCATCAATACTAAGTTCAAAAGAGGCAGCAAGTAGTTGACACAAGGAATGAGGGATGAGAACAAAGATAAGGGAAAGTTTGGAAAAAAGGGACATTGAACAAGTGAAGAGAATGGAGACAAGGAATGTGAAACAAGGACAAGGGAGAGGAAGGAAGGAATTTGGAATGGAGAATAGGGAACAATGGAGGGAAACATGAACATGGGATTAAGAAGGGGGGTTGGAGATAGGAATGGAGGGAATCAATGATGAAATGACAAATGAGATGTGGCATTAATAACATTAACATGTAGCTTTTAAAACTCTTTTTGTAAGATTTGGATCTATATAATATTCAAATGTTATATAAACGTGATGTCAAATAGTTGTGGATTTATTTAACATTCCTCTTGATATATATATATATATATATATAGAAGAAATTGATAGGTTGATGCGAGTTTTAACAAAAATGACCAGGTTTAGTCATCTAACCTAATTCATATGTTTAACTTAATAAACATGTATGTTCATTTGTGTACCGTGCAGCCAAATTTGGTCACCTGACCTAGTTCATTGATATACTATAGAGCCAAAATATTGTGCATATGGTTTTTAAAACCAAAATTGAATAATTAAGTGCATTATTTTTGTTCACAGTTCATATATTTTCATTCACAATATTTGTTTACAATTCATTTCATACTTCTTTACATGTGAACAAAGTTACAGGTGAATTGTGGATGAACTCATCAGTTCATGATTTTTTTTGTTTAGAATGAACAAATGCGCAACAACATTTCTGAGAACCACGTCTTGTCTTAAGATTCCTGCCCAACAACATTATTTTATGCGTTTGCAGTGGATTTCAATTCATGACGGCTTCTGTCATTACGACTGCAGTTATCGGCATCGACAGCTCCCTCTCGTACAAGCATTATCTGCCTCGTTGCGCATCATCTCGGCTGCGATGGGTCGCCACTTGCGTTCTCGCTTATCGATGTAGAGATCGATTCTGAATTCCGATGATTTGCTGGACAGGTTGTTTGAAGTTTTGAGGTTGTGGGTACCGCGTAGATTCCTCAACAATGCAGGCGCGCTTTGTTTGTGGTTCGATGAGCTGATCGCTGACTTTCTGATGGTACAGCCTGATATCTTGGTTTGAGAAGGCAGCGCTCCGCAATGGCCATCAATCTATATGGGACGTACTACTCCAACGCTTGTGCCACGGCGATCGTCGTGTTGCTTGAGAAGGAGGTAGAATTTGAGCTCGTCAGCACTAGCGTCTTGCACGGAGAGCACAAGACGCCCAAGTACATGGCCTTGCAGGTGACATACAATGGATCTCTGTCTTTGTCGAACCCTTGATGCTCTAATTTTAGAATCTACCGCCTCGAGGTTACACATTCATGACTGGAAATGACACAAATCATTCCGCACCACCCTTATTCACCTTAGCTTCGGTGTATCTTGCAGCCATTCGGACTGGTCCCGTTTCTGCAAGATGGTGACTTCAAGTTGTTTGGTACGACCTCCTGCTGCACTGTACCATTATATTTCTATTATCTCTTTCCTTCTACTAATAGTAGCAATGAATTCTTGACGCCTCAGCAAAGTGTGCGTTTCCGAAATCGATCGGTGGCGTTTGTGTTGGACTAGAAACTCCAATCTTGAACGCTCTCGTCAAGTTTGTGGAAACATTCTATCCGACGAAGTGTAATCGCGTGTGCAGAGTCGAGAGCCATAATGCGGTACATCGCCGATAAGTACGACCCTTCTTGTTTCATTGAATCAACCATTTGGTTATTCCAATTTTTCTCTTATAAATAGATTTTAGAGTTCTCTGCATAAAATGTTCACTTTGAATGAAGTTTTAAATTTTGACACTAATGTGTGCATATATAGATACACACACACATAAAGAATAAAAATTTAAGATTTAATTATTTAATTATTTACAAAAGCATTCTTTTGTATTACAAGACATTCTTTTGTATTACAAAACATTCTTTTGTATTACAAGACACATAGAAAAAAAAAAAAAAAAAAAAAAAAAAAATCTTATTTCTAATTCTTTATAAGACTTATAAATATTTTAAAAATTTTAAAAATTAATATCTTTATATTTATTTTATGTTTTTGGGAGTTTGATAGTTTAAAAAATTATCTTTGCATTATTTGTATGAATTATTCAAAAAAATTATAAACAAATATGGCTTTACAACAAAAAACAAAAAATGTAAGAAGTCATAAATTTCTATGATATTTTAGAATTTATTTTTAAATTCATTCTTAAATTTTAAATAAAAATATTCGCTCTCTCTCTCTCTCTCTCTCTCTCTCTCTATATATATATATATATATATATATATATATGTATATACACACACTCATACTCTTAAAAAAAATTAAAAATTAAAAATTAAAAAAATTAAAATTCTTATTTAGATAACAGGTAGGTTTTAATAGAATATAATATTTACTTGAAAAATAAGGTGATGTGAACAGGTTTAAAAATCAAAATTTATATTACGGTTGATGGAGAGGAAGTGCAATTGAAATGCCACCAAATAGCAACACATACAACCGAAAAAACTATAATTAATTCTTAATTAATTGCCAATTCTTTTGTTAGTTGTAGGATTTTGTGATGTAGTATGAGTGGCTTTTTGGTAATGTGAAGTTAAGTAATATCATATTAATTGTAGAAGGTAATATTAATTAAAAGCCATTTATTAAGAGTAGAAAAATAGAGAGTTGTGATAAAATTTGGAACAATGGAGTTTCAACCTATGAATTATATTTAAATGGTTTCTCAAAAAAAAAAAAAAAAAAAAAAAAAAAAACACTTGCAAACAATGATGGGATTAGGTTCATTTGAGACGGATAATGTATACTTTAAAAGAAAATAAGAACAATTTGTTTTAAGTTTAATCCATACAATATTGCATAATATTATTCATGGAATTTCCAATTGCTACACCCTAAACATTCAAGAATGAACATTTCCAAAAGACCAAAACAATAGAACAATGTTCTTCAATTAAAACATCGATGTTTGAAATGGTATGTATAAACATCAGGTAATTCTTCACAAGTGGGATACGTTCGCGTGTGTTCGAAACCATCAACAACTTTCATCGAAAAAGTGAGCAGCCAAAAAGTTTAAACCGTGCGTTTGAGACCCAGCGAAGCTCGGTTGGCAAGCGACGCGCCGTTGCCAAGTGTCGGAGAACTGGGAATCACGATATCGCGCGTGGTTCTTAGCCATCACTGTGTGCACGGTTGTTGCTCACAAGACCGTGTTTCCGCTAGCGCTTGTGGCCGAGGCCGAGCTCTCGCAATTGCTACCCAACGTTGTGGTGGTCCGAAACCCTAATTCTAGTTCGCAAGGTCCTCGCCCAAAGAATTGCGATGCTTGTTGCTGCGAGAAGAGCTGCCCGCACACTTTTGGTTGACAGTTCTACCTTCCAGTCGTCTTCATGTCGTCATCGGCACTTGGTCGCGGCTGTTCTCGTAGCACGAGAGAGCTTTTGCTCAGCTTCTTCCACAATCACGGAAGATGGCTCCGTGTCTTACCTTCGTAATCCCAGGAATGGTGCCCAGGTGTACCTCGTCGGCACTGCTCACGTCTCGGTCAAGAGTGCCGACCAAGTTCGAGAGGTACTTGTCCCTTCATGGCGTGCGTGTGTGTGTGTGTGTGATTTTTTTTTTTTTTTTGTTCCGTGCTTTGTTTGTGTTGTTTATTTCATTGGGTGATTGATAGGTTTGTATATATCCGAAGTTTGTGTGCCTTTCCCGCTTTTAGGGTTTTGCAACGGGCAGCGCTTGTGAGACTTTGTGTATTCGGTGGGATTCTTGGGGATCGGTCGTGTATTGTGGCGCAATTGGTCTTGGAGTTTCATGATTTGAAGCTAAGAACATGCGCGGTGGTTGTGCTGTGCAGGTTATACAACGAGTGAGGCCCGATCGAGTTGCGGTATGTTATTTGTGGTTGTTTTAATAAATTGCATCCGCTTATGTTTTTATTCTTGAAATTCAGTCAATGGATAGGAGAGATTAAATTGTCGCACATTCCCGGGGTAGTATCTTAATTGATATCTTGAGCGTAGGATAGATTCTGATTGAGCACTTTTGTGGAGTTGATCTTACAGGTGGAATTGTGCCAAGAGAGAGCGAAAAATCTAATGTCAGACAACCCTCAGCGGAAGGGGAAAACACCCCTTCAACAGTTGCAAGAACTGTTTAACTTGCCTGGAGGCTTGGGTCAGAAGCTAATTGGCTTTTGGATGAAGTCCATGTATGAGCTTATTCGAAACACTGGTGTAGAGCCTGGCAAAGAGTTTAGGGTTAGTTCTTTTTTCCTAGAAGCTTTCTATACTAGTTCGATATGAGTTATTTTATTCCTCAATGCAAAGTAAGAATCGTCTTGTTTAGTTTTCCCTTTTTTGCTGTTTTTTAAAATGTTTGTTTGTCTTTATTTGTTTTTTGTGTGTTTGGAACAGACCCGATGATTTAGATCGTTTGTGTTCGCCTGTGTTTTCATTTATCCGCCTGTGGCTGTTTGGGGATTAAATTGATATGCTATTTTCAGATTGCTATGGAGGAGGCGCAGCGATTGAATGCGGAGATTCTCTACATAGACCAGAATGTTCATGTATGTTCTCTCATGACTAGTGCGATTACATGTTTTGTAACTTGCTTTTTTTTTTTTTTCTTTCCTTTTTTTATTTTTTATTTTTTTATTCTTCTTTTTGGATTATTAGTTTTTACTTACCAGTTCTTGCATGTCTTGAGAGTGTAGCGCTACTTACCATGTTCGACAAATCATCGCATTATTAGGTTTGTTATAATTTTCTCAGGGGTGGATTAATTTTACAGGAAACTATAAAGAGATTAAGAGACGTTATCACAATCTGGGATGTGTTAAAAATGCTGAAAAATCCCAATCAACACCTTGATACTTATCCTTCATTCATGAAAGACATGGAGCACCGTGATTTTGAAGAAACCGTGGAAAGGGTGAAGACTCGAGAGAACGTGAGAGAAATGATGACGTGGATGGAACAATCCTTTCCTGCTTTGGTAAGAGCTTCAATCTTTTAGTGATTTTGGAAGCATTTTGAATGCGGTATGTAGGGGTTGCAAATATCTTGGCTCCTGAGTTATTAGTAGGGCCCATCAGCTGTTACTTCTATTTCATCTCATGTTCTTATGATTTATGATTCTTCTGTGGAAACGTCATGTATGGATATGTGGTTGACGATGGAGTTGGAACTGCAGGTTAAAGTCATGGTGCACGAAAGGGACCAACTGATGGTGAAGCGCCTCCTGGAATGTGAAGGTACTGTGGTAGGTGTAGTGGGGATGGCACACATGGATGGTATTGAGAGATTGTGGAAAGAAGCCGAATAGTAGTATTTAGCAGCAGCTCACTTCAATCTGCCTCCACCGTAAGCGCTCCTTTCAATATCGGATGGAGCTTTTCCACAGTTGCAACCAAGGTTATTAGAATTTGTTTGAGCAGTTGGGGGCTTTCTACAGTCTTATCGTATCATTAGAATCCATTTTTACCAGATATCTCTGACCTTCACTGTTTGTAGAAACATTTTTAGGACATTCGCTCAACTGCGAATTATGAGTCACTTGTAGAGTTCACCGCGGTAGTTTCATAATGTTGAAAGATATTTGTAGTGTACATGCAACACATGTTGCTGTGGCCCTGGGCTTGTTCTTTCCTTAAGATCTACCGTTCCAGTTGATTCAAATTGCAAAATGCAATGCTGCACACATTAATGAAGGTAGCACTACATGTGGTTCAACAGAATATCGATGGCAACATTGGAACGCGCCAGTGCCAGAAAATGTAGTGCCTGTAATTCCTTCACACATCTTTTGGGAAATCCAGTTGTATTATACAGCGTCTGTATTGCAACACTAGTGATGATCTGCCTACCATGTCAAAGGGTGTTCTAACACGTTCACGTACCGCCATGTATTTGTAACCAAACACTTGTTTCCATGTCGTTGGACTTGAGCCCTTCAACGTGAATGGACCTGTGCATCACATCTGATGGAGGAAAAATGAATCATAAAATATATATTAACAACTTTGAGGATTCAAAGGAAATAACAGTAGTTTTAATAGTGGCATTTTTACTAGTAGGATGTTTGTAATGCGAATTTCATTAGCCAAATAGTTTATTTTAAAGGAGGAAAATTATAAAATGATTTTTTAATAATTATGTGGCATATTTAGAAGAATCTAAGAATCTAAGTTGTGTTTAAAGAACTTTGAGGATTTGACTTGATGAAGATACCATCTACCTAATGTGTTTAAACCTGCTTCTACTAACTTTTATTTACTTAGGTAATATAGATATTGATTATTTTCTATTGATATGTTAATATTTAATGCATTATACATTTTTTTTTCTATTTAAGGTTTGTAAATGGTTTTAAATGTTGGATGTTGGCAACTAAGTGGTTGATAACGATGCATTTTAAAAAAAAGTTGGCAATGGCTAGAAATTTCTTTTATATTTAACATTTAAATATGTCATTTTAGAACAATTAATTCTTAAAAATTGTTTTTCTTCTTTTGAAGATAAAAAGATAGGGAATTGTTAGATGGGCACCTCCTTTTTTATTGCATGGGCATTTTCCATGCCACTTATCTCCGCATATACATTCCTCCAAAAAATGACTAATTTTGCTTTTAAATGAGATTTTTCATTTACTTTTTATTTATTGTTGATGAATAAAAATGTAATAAAACTAAATATTTTTTAATTTTTGTGGTTCAAAAATATAATTTAACAAAGGTTTGTAAGGACAAAAGAATAGAAGAATAAGATAACATGAAACAATAGAATACATTTATATAAGGACATATCAAATTTTGATATTAAAATAATAAATATAACAAGAAGCATGTTTTTAAGTTGAAACTAGCTACTTTTTGCAAAGTATATATGCAAAGATTTGTAGCACAAGAGGTATCGACCTAGCAATTTTTCAAAAACAAATAGAGAATTATCTTTGATTCCTTAATTTGATAATAAAAAATTAATTAATAATAATTTGATTAATAAATTATAATGAAAACAAAACAAAGTAAATTACAATCGACTATTTTGATTCTTCTAGGGATATATAAAAAAGTAAAGAAAAAATGGAGTTTAAGAAATGTTTATGCAATATTTAGCTTGTATTTATTTTGATCTTTTTACCATTTATTATTTTGATAGTATTTATTTTTTAGTCGTAGATTGTAAATTTTTGTTGTTTAATACAAAAATTAGAGTATTAGATTGAAATGTGGATACAATTGTGCTATCTTTCATAATTAGAAAATTAAAATATTTACATCTTTTTGTCAAATGTTTAAGTTATATTATGCAAAGTCTTTTTAAATTTCAAAAAAATATACTTATTAAGATTTAAAAATTAATATAAAGCACTTATGGTACAAAAAGAACATTTAAGAAAAGAAAAAATTATGTGTTTTGCAGAAATTGTGACATGAGATACCTTTCATTTTTTGTTTTGTTTTGTTTTGAGTTATAAATATGTATATATTGGATAATTTGCATATGCTGATTTCAAATGTTTATTGTAATTGTGGTATATAATTTAATTTTTAAGTTAAGCTATTTTTTATAATAAGATATAAGTAAAATATAAATTCATATTTTTCTAATTAGATATAATTAATTTAGATTTAATAGAAGTTTTTTAAAAATTAATACTATTATATTTTTTTTATGTTGATCAATATATATAAGATTGAATAAAAAGATAAAAATACACAAGTCATGCAATTGATATAATAAAAATGATTAAGAAAAAATAATTTTATAAAAAAATTTATCAATAAATTCTATTTAATATAGAAAAATTCTAAAATTAAATTTATAATTTGATTAAAAAAATAAAAATCTAAAAAAATATAAAGAATATAAATAAATAAGTGAAACATTTTTCAAAGAAAGATGACAAAAAAGAAATAAGAAAATATGTATATTCAAGAAAAAACTAGAATAACTATTGTCAAAGATTAAAAAACTAGAAACTCTTGAAACTAGATTAGATGCAAGAAAGGAATTAATAAGAGTGAAGAAGGCTTCACTCTTATCTCTATATATATTATCTAATTAGGAGTTATGTAGCGACATTGTATAGGACCTCCAACATGTGTTCAACTTATAAGACACATGTCTAATTTAGAAGATAAGCATCTTATATATACACCACAAATAGGCAATTTGTTGGCCAAGTTTTCAATCTACTAATCATCTATAGACATATATAAAGGCAAAGTTACATCTACAAAGCTTCTAAGAAACTTTTCTACAAGATATTATCAAATTTATCTACTTTTATGTATTTTAAATTAGTGCTTGGATAACCTTAGTAAAATTTTTAAGGAGAAAGTTGCATCAAAGAAGATTATTGTATGTCAATGCAATAAGAAAATGTGATAAAGTTGCAACAAAAAAACCATTTTGATAACTAATAATAGTAATGTCGCAAAAATAAGGTAGAAGTGGTGATTAGAAAAAATTTAGGCTTTATAAACACTTTTAGAGAGTTTTTTTTTTTTTTTTTTTTTTTTTTTTTTTTTTTTCTCTCTCTTTTTTTTGGAATTTGGATGTTTGGCAATATGTGTTGTAGCACACAATGTACTAGTTTGTTAAGTTTTATAAGCGTTTTGTCTAAGAAAAATTATATATTGTTTTATTTTAACTTATTAAAAAAAAAATAATAATTTTACTACATTTGGCATACTTACAAACACTGAGGTATTTGCATAAAAGTATTATACTTAAGGCAACATTTACATCTTAAGTAAGTTAATATTTTACTACTATTGTTCTATGAGTCATCAAAATAACTTACTCTTATTTTTAGATAGTAACTTGTACTTAAGTTATGAAAAATACAATTGTTAGATGGATTGCTTGTAAGAAATCATAAATAAGTAGATGATAAGAAAAGGGTGGAAAGAAGATCTTATTTCAAACATATGGTATAAAATTCTAAAGTAATTATAAATTTATTAGTTGGTTAATTGATTATTAATTATTAATTATTAATTATTAATTAATTGATTAACTATTTATTATTTATTAATGGTTATTTATTTATTAATTGGCTATATATTTATTAATTTATTATAGATTTAGAAGCAAGCTTCTAAAAATTCTAGCCTCTTTTGAAGAACTTCAATCAATTTTTTTTGTTTTGTTTTGATCCTTAAGCCCTAGATTTGAAAAATCTAATATTTCTATAGTCTAGATTTGTATCTCGCATTTTTGCAATATGGATTACTCTTTTTGTGTCCAATTTGAATTAATTCTAAGGCCTTGGAGGCAAAAAAAAGAGGGGTATTGCTGCCTTAGAATACTTACGTTTAGATCATAGAATTCATCTTTTATTCATTTGTCAAGTTTACTACTTAATGTCATTGCTAGTTGTATTATATTTTAATTATAAGTTATCTTTTAGTATATTAAATCAAAGGAATTGATAGCACTATAATTAGAAGTTATTATTCTCTAATTTAGTTGTAATGAGCAACAAGACAAGTTGACTCAATGATCTTCCAACAGAGGCTATATGTCCATGCTATATAATTAATTAAGTGGTAGTATTGCTGGAACTTCCATTTGATACAAGAAAGACATTTTAATTGAAGTGCATAGGCTATCATTGACAACTATGGCCATTGTTGATAATAATAATTTTTTTGAGAAGTGATTGTATTGTAGAGTTGTTTTTAGTGCATGCATTATGTGATAAAGTACTAAAGTTGCAATCTTTCATCAAATCTAGAAGCCATGGTTTCTCTAATACATGAATAATTAAATTCTATAAACCATTGTCTTTTCAATCTAATCAGATTACTAGTATAACATCTTTGTTAGAATTGCCAAATTACAATAGAAATAAAATTATTAAATATGTAGAAATTAGGAAGGTTGAGATATGTCTATTGTCAACCTAATTGGTTGTTGTTAAAATTAGCCCAACTTCACAACTTCTAGCCTTCTATTCTTATTATAGGTGACAAAGCAATCAATAAGCCTTTGACACTTTGGCATGGAGCTTGTTGTTGCAGATTTTTGCTGTTAATAAGCTATCAATACTAAATTAGATCAACTTGCAGAGCATATATGAATAAAGATATTATACCACAACCACAAGTAAGGATGGAAGGCTAGAGCATTCTTCTAAAATCTCTTATTTTTATATTGGAAAGAATACAAAGGAATAACAAAGATTGTGACAAGGAGCTTGTAGTTGTTCCTAAGGATTATACTCATCCAAGAAGGTTGAGTTTCCAATCTTTAATTGGATTTTAATTTTCAATAGATTTTGTCTAATATTAAATCCAATTCAATGAAAAAACTTAAGTTAGATGAAATAATGGCCTTGGACATAGTAGACAAATTAAGTTAGAATTGAATGAACTTTTAAAGTGGATGAAATTTTGCATCGAATAAAAACTCATTTTTAGATAAAAAATTATTTTTGATGTCGTGTAGTATCATAATTATATGGTAAAAAATAAAAATAAAAATTTTATTAAAGAAGATCCTAGTAGAAAGATATAATAAAAAAACAAAGATAAATAATAAAAAAGTAGTTAAAAAGTTTACCCTTAATATTACCTTTTATAGAAAGAACTTCTATTTATTATATAGAAGCATAAAAGCCTCAAATCAAAATAAATGAAATAAATAAGTAATATAGGTATCTTTAAAAGATAATTAAAATAGGTTTAAGCAAAAATTACCTCAAATTAATAAAAATTGATATCTA